CAGCATTGATCCCCATCTAAGCCTTGGTCACTGCATGTGGCCTGAAGGTGAGGTGACAGGGGAGTAAAGAGGCTTTCATGCGATTATAGCTCATTCTCTGTCTTCCACCGTCTCTCTTTCCAGCATCATTTATCTCACTGCTGCTTTCAACCACTTTGCTGGTTCTCTGTTTGTCTCTTGGTGAACACTAGACCTACTTTAAGTCACAGTTTCTTTAGTCCCACATGGATCCATTTGTCTCTTTCCAAGTGTCCCCAATGAGCTGATGGTGGCTGTTCAGAAGTGTGTGACTACACATCAAAAACAAACAAAATGTATGAAAAAACAACTTTCAGATGTGCAATTTCTTTCAAAACCATCTCTCCATTTCCCACATAATTATTTTCATGCTGTTTGATTATATGCCTGCTTTCAGCGAGCAGTAAAAAAAAAAGCCAAAATGCTATTTGTACTTTTTCCTCTGAAGGTATGAGTGGCCTTGTATGCACATACCTGTATACTAGCTGCAGACAAACAATGTGCGAGAAATAGTGCAAACACCAGTGGTGAAAGAAGCATTCGGATCTTTTACTACTAAAAGTAGAAATTTTACAACGTACAAATACTGTATTACAAATGCATAAATTCAATCACAATTAAAAATTAATTAATTTGAGATTAATGTTAATTTTAATCCTGTATCTGGTCGAGACTGGGCTCATTTAAAAACATGATACACTCTTGGGTAATTTTATGTACTCCATCATATTTTATATGCTCATTATAAGTTATTAAAATCACAATCTGCAAAATAGCCAGTAACCATAGTTATTAAATCAGTGTATTGGAGGAACTAACATGTTGGGGAGAAGAAGTATAAAGTAAAACATTGCAATACTCAAGTAAAATACATATATGTAAGAATTAAGTGCAGGATTTGAGAAAATATACTTGGTTCCTTTCCACCAGTGGTAAACACACAAGTACATTTTGTCTGTGATGGTGTGAAAACAGGACAAGAGGCTATGTGCACACACAAATACACATTCCTCTGTTTAAATCTCGGCCTTCTATCTTTCACTGTTTCTATTAGCTGTGCTGCCCACAGCTCTGTCTCTCTGTAGATCCGTGCTGAATTACTGCATTCAGATGTAGCTTGTTGGCTCAATTTGCTCTATTTATTGTTGATATTTGCCTGTGTTGGCAAGCACGTCAACATATATACAGTATCATAATAATTACAAATGAGGGATGTCCAATTACCTCACAGATTCCTTGGCAAGATTTAAGTTAACCAATTAGCTACAGAAGCAAAAATAATTATTCCTAAGGATTTGCTCGTGCAAGTGAGCACATAGTCTACACATGAAGTTCATACGTACTGTACACACAACACACATAAAAAGGTTTGCATCTGAATACACAGATATTGTTCGCATCTACTACATAAATGTTGGCAGATGCAGCAAATGTGTCTGCATACATGGAATGGAGACACTCTTACAGCTGCAAACCAACAGCCAAGCACACGCACACGCGCACACATGCCACATTGCCAGAGGGCTCTCGCACACCGTGAGTCAGATCTGGTTGAAACTAGTGGCTCCCGACCTGACGCTGTCCTCATTACACTTCTGACCACCATACATTTAGTATACAGAGTGCTCAAATCATTGGATGACCAGACATATCTGACCAGTGTTTTGAACCAGTGTGTGTGCGTGTGTGTATGTGTGTTGTGTGTGCATGTGAATAAGCCTGAGGGAAGGACAGCACTGGTGTGTATTAATGGGATTAGGATTGACTTTACCCTTCCTCTCCCTTCTACTTTCACACTTATCCTTTTTCTCCTGCCCCCGACCCCCCATCCATTCTTCTTGAAGTCTATTTCCTTCATTTTATGGTATTTTTCCTTCTGTTTGTATTCATCTTAGTCCACATTTTTTCACAAGTCATAACCATGCCTCTACCTTTTTCCTCCTACCTTCACTTTTCACTCCACTCTTTAAATGTATAGCTTTAATAACTTCCTCTTCACTCACAGTCCTTCCTCGCTCTTTCTTTGTCCACCCTCTTTAACTCCCATCCATATTTCTCTTAAATATACACACACACATACATACACACATATACATTTTTATATATATATATATATATATATATATATATATATATATATATATATATATATATATATATATATATATATATATATATATATATATATATATATATATATATATATATATATATATATATATATCTCAAAAACATCGGGGCCTGTTGCAGACTAGCTCTTCAGAAAGAGAAGCCCCTGTAGACGTTTTTGCTCAGTCCTGAGTCTTTCGGCTGATGTTCACTGCGCTTACATAACCCGTCGTCAAAGCGTGCATAGCAACACAAGCAATCCATGAATCGTATGAATGGATGAATGATAGTCTCCCCATTACCCATCCTCGCCTCTACACTGAGAGCTATTGAAGCGTATCTATCTCAGATCTGCCTTAATGTTGATTACAATACGGAATGGGGAGGCAATGTTTTTAAAATTACTTGAAATAATATTTGTGATGTTGAAACCTTTTCTCTCCATACTTCAAATATGTATTTGTTTGCCTTAATTAGGCTGTTTTTACCCAAGTACGTAAATGTAGTGGAATTATATTTTTGAAGAGGTTCAGACAAGAAATTAAGATTTTTTCTTATGGCTGTTCAAATCCTTAGGAACCCTAATCAGCTTTATCACAACTTAAAAGGTAATATTTCCAAGGAGACAGAATTTTTCTACTTCTAGCCAGACTTCTCATCAAGTCTGAGCCTGTCACTTTGGCCGAAATCCTAAGTCTGAGGACTGCTTGGCTCTTTATTATGGTTACATAACTATCGCCAAAGCACCATATGGCAGGCTCATTCAAACAATTTTAATAGACTTTTTAAAGGTGTGGGATTGAATCCCAATGGCATGGTATGCTGTCACATTTCTATCCCCCTCACTGTTCTCCTGTCTGTTTACTAATTCCTCATTCTCTTATCTAAAATACGAACCTAACCAATCATTACATAACACTGAGATTTAAGTATGATATCAAGAAGTGTCATTATTCAAACATCAAGGAATCAGTAGGGCACAGTGTATGAAAATAACACCTGACAACCGGAGTAACAGTTGGGCCTATTAGAGAAATTGAGTTATGACAAAATTGCTGGCTGGACTACTTTGACATTATCGGAAATTAAAGCAAATGTTAAACACTTCCTTGTACACAGGATAAGCGTTTGACGATGGATGGATGGATGGATGGTTAAACACTTCCATTTTGTTCATCCTGCTGGGTGACCCCCAAGTGCTCCAGTAAAGGAGCACACTTGCCAGCAGTAGAAGGTTTGGTGCACGCTGAGTTGAATGTAAATAATGTGACTGTGAATACTGATTGTTCCTGAAAAACAACCCCCACGCTTTTTATCTTATTAAAAGATGGCTATTTATTTTCCAAGGAAATAAATCACAAACTGAAGGAGAGTCTTATTAAAAATTTCAATAGCACTACAAAGTGAGAAATTCTATGGGTTGACTTCGGGGCACCCTTTAATGCATCACACAGCCAAACAAAAGCACGCAGTCAGTGACTAGCTGCACAGTGGTTTCTTAACACTCGTGTACACTGCATCTTATTCATGCTTCGTCCAAAGGCGTCTTTTCCTTTACACCCTCTATTCAGATACCACACAGCCTTCAAATTCATCATTATATTTCAAGTCAACAGTAAAATCACACTCAAAATAATATATATATATATATATATATATATATATATATATATATATATGTGTGTATACACACACACACACACACACACACACACACACACATTTTTTTTATGCTCTCCCACTCTTGCATTTCACTGTTATATTTCTCACCCTTTCCTGTATTATTAAAATAGGCATGTACATATATGAATATCTGGAAGTTTTTTCTTTTGATGGTTTATGTGTCTCCTTTACATCACATGGACAGCTGTGCCCACACATTCCCTCATATACAATCCCAAACACATTATTAGCACCAAAAAAATATGGGGACCACCAGACTCTTTTTGTGACAAATGGTTCGCTTTTGATCCATTTATGAATAATGTTATCTTAAACTGCAGAAGAGGGAGCGAAAACACACAAGTACAAGCCATGCCATTTTCAGAATGGAACTGGTATGTGGTACAACATTTGCATGTTTAACAAAGGAAATACAAGAAAAATGCCTGCACAGTTAGCACAGCAGGCTTGCTGCCTATAATAACATCTTCTTTGCTTGGGCAAACTACTAATTATGAAGATGTTTCATGTAGTATTATTGTGCCCCGAAGAAAAGAGTAGGTGAAGTGAGAGAAAATATTCTCCCCTTTTTTAATCTAGTGTTTTGTTTGGTTTTGGGATAAACTCCTAATGGATTTAAATGCAATGTTTTGTTGTTTTAGATAGATAGATAGATAGATAGAGTTTCAGCAAGAGCAAATCAATTTGGCTCCTAGTCTTTACACGCTGTCCAAACCAATTATGCACACGGGTATCAAATTCAGAGTTTAGTATTTTAAATTATTAATTCCCACACGCCATGAAGGATTAATCTGGCTGTCACTGATATGCGACGGTCGCAGGTTTTCTCGAAGTGCTCGTGTCTTGTGAGCAGCAAATATTCTGTTCAGCATCGCTTTGTAAACAATAGAGGGAAAACAATAGCGGAGCCGAGATAGCCCTCCATGTGTCTCATTTTCAAAGCCAATTACAGTGACGGACATAAGGCTGTGGGCAGCATAATTAGTTTCTGAGGAACCATTTTAACAGGAAATTTGGATGGTTTGCCGTTTAGGCTGCTGGGCGGAGAGAACAGGACTAAACGTTGCACTTTAGTCTTAACCCTAAACCCTTATTCGTGGCACGCGGCAGACTCAATTCAACAAAAATCGATCATGCTGTGCGAACATAACACAGCTGTAATTGGAAGGGAACAAAGAAAACTCACTCACCTCAGAAATGCAACATCTTCGCGTGTTTCCTCCTTTGTCATCCACGAGTCCAAAGGAGCAAAAACAGATATTAACACAAAAAGAAGAAGACGATCTCCACTTGTCTGCTCGGTCAGCTTGAGAAACCCAACATCATGATCTCATCATGAACCATCCAAAACCAGTGAGCAACTCCACGAAAACCCTGAAGCGAAGATGAAACAATGCTCAACTCCTCTCCTCTCTCCTCTCCTCCACTCAGTGTTCACACTTAGCGTAGGCTACTGGCTGCCTTTCGGTGTCCAGACAGACGAGCAGTTGTCAGCCAGTACCTCATGTAATATTGAACGCCGATAATGGACCAGTGCGACGGGAAATGGAAATGCTGTCCTTCGTTTTTTTATTCCGTGTTTACATCATGCTGCCCTATTAAATCCCCTCTAAACGTCCAGTATATACGCTTCCTTTGTGCTCCCAGTCTCTCCCGCCGAGGATAACGGGTTAAACCTTTCCAGCAGCACGAGAGGGGAGGGGGGTGGAGAGAAGCTATTCACGTGAATACAGGGGACGAATGGGCTCGGTGACTCGTGGCCAAATGTTGTTATTGTCGGAGATAAAGAGACGGGGAGACAGGAGGGAAAGGGGGAGGAGAGAGAAAGAGTGAGGGGGAGAGAAAGGAGAAAGCGACAAACAGAGAGGTTGGTAGGGTGGGGGGATTGCAAAGGAGGTGTATTTGAGGCATATCATTAAAAAGGAAAACAGACCGGCTTCAGTGTCATCGGAGTCTATTGTAAATATGAGAAGTGATTTAAAGGATAATAACAATTTTAATAACTAGGCCTAGTGTGTACAAAACAACATTCCTTCATTGGCATTATTTTAAATTTGTCTTTGTTGTTGTATTGGCAGATTATGACGTAGGCCTCCTTATCCCTGTACTGAAAACTGTATCACCCCGGCTGAAACACACTAAACCATTTGAGTTCTCACATGCAAACGGTGGAAACACGCTCTCACGCTAGAATTATGCAACAGAGATATAATTACAACCCATGTAATGGTAGGGGAGAGAGCGTTGTGTTCTGCTGCCTGTTACTTGCCTCAGCACTAAAACGGTGCTAGTTCAGGACCTCGGAGAGCTCCCAGCCAGCACCGGCCACCTGTGTCAAAAGAGCTGTACTGTAGATTATGAGAGAGCATCACCTTCTGAATTACCGACCCGAATTTGACCCCCTGGGTTGAGAACGAGCTGGAGAGAGTTTTAGCTATCATAAAATAATGAACTACATTTATTTTCAGAATATAGTTAGGGTTGCTATATACCAGGAACAGAAAATGTAGACAACTTGTAGTTGAGAGCAGGTCACTCTGAATTCCTCACTCAGAGCAGTCTAATTGTGTGGTGCTGGCAGACTCCCCTCTATACATCTGCCGATCCTCAGTCCAGACTTTGTGTTGAACAAAAACAGCCAGATTAAGAGGAAAAGCAAAGTAGTTTCCTCAGAGCTCTATAGAGACTGTTTGTATGTGGACATGATGTGGTCCAATAGTGCCATCGCCTGGAGATGAGTTCCTTATGTGAGGCGATGTGAGGAACATAAACACATGTTTTTGCACCAGATCAAACCTGTTGTAGTCTATAGTGGTGCAAGCTCAGTGTATCCTGAGAGAATACGTTTTACAATTGATGCCTCGTTTAAATGGTTTACAGTCACATCATGCACTTCAACTTGCAACATGCTGTGCATTTGCATAAAGAAGCATTGCTCCAAAATTTACTGCAGAGAATTCTTGTTTTTCTCGTGAAGAGCAATTATTTCCCTTAAAACTGCAGCTCAAAGAGCAACTTTAACATACAGTAGGCTACTTAATCACCCGCTTCGAATATTTCCAAACCGTGGAGCACTGCAGAAAGAAAAAAAATTAGGCATTTCATCTTTAAAACATAGTGTCTTCACTAGCATGTCCAATTATTCATTCCGTCAGTCACTTGACTGCTCTTCAGTGATGCTCTTTCACTGATAACCAGGTTTACATGCCACTTCGCGTGTTACGTAACGACAGGCTATCAGACTGAGACAGATGGGTCTTTGGAGCGTCAATGCAATGCTGAAGTAGGCCTGGCTGTTTCTTTTTTTTGGTTAATTGTTAACATTCGACAGGATAGTCATTCACCATGAATTTACTACAATGATAATTTAAAGACTTCCTGATCATGGGATTTGAAGCCAATTTATAGAGAAAATTCAGATTACAAAAATCCATAAAGAGCACTTTTAAAGGTCGCAAGCGCAGCATCTTATCTTTTTTATTTATTTATTTTTTTTAAAAAACAGGAACTTCTGCTTATATTGTAGTTTTAGCAGTAAAAGTCCTCTTTATCGTTTTCCTGTGTGGACGCGCAGCAGCACCTGCGCCTTTAAGAGCATCTCTGACAGCATCCTCCTCTGTCACGGACGCGCACACAGCAGCTCAATATTTGAGAATATAGCTTAGCTCTCTGCACACACATCTTCCTAAAGCTACACCATAGCATCACATAATTACATTAATCACCATTATTTCTCCACTGGACATTGATGCATTTACCTCAACGGTCGCCGTAGCGGTCCATCCGATCGTTATTGCTTTTATTTCCTTCCTTTCCGCATCCAAAGAGTAATCTACGCTACAAGATGGCTGAGTTGAATTTGGGGAAGGGTCTGACTGCAGGGAAAGTGGCCAGCAACGTTCAGAAAAAACTAACGAGAGCCCAGGAGAAGGTAAGAGCTGCTCTCTAACGTGTCCATGCATGGGAGGTGATTATTCATATCATATTCAGGCCTACAAGCCGCGAAGCAGCAGTGCCGCATCCTCCACCAAGGCGCAGTGTCGCATCACGACGTCGTAATCATACGGGCAAGGATGCTGTGTTTCGGGATGGGGATAAGGATGTCCACTTCAAACACATGGTTCCTGTAGCCAATGTCATACAGGGGGCACGTTCATATTCGCGGTGAGAAGTACTCCAGGCGTACTCATAATTTAGCCCATGACTGATGTGTTTCTGGCATTTCACCTCAGTATCTGGGTATCGTAATGAGTGTTTGTCACACAGACGTGGCTGCATGATCACTCTCTTAAATTTTGCAAGCACTATATTGATAATTATCGCCCATGCTGTAATATGTAGGCCTGTAGGTGTTAGATATGAGGCCTATTCTATGCGTCCATGCACCTACGCGTTGTGCATTGAATAAATGACAGGGGGCGCTATTTGTCTATCATAATGCATTATACTCCGTGTTACAGGGGGAAAACAGATCAAGGTCCCCCTGTAAATCCAGTGTGGATCATAGGCTATGTGTGTAAATGTCACTGTATTGACAACATGTGTTTGAGTTTCTATGGACATAATGTTGCATGCATGAATGTATGATGTAGCATACTTTCAGTTATTTCTTGACTCAACATTAGATTAAACATTATTTCCACTTTTAACATTTTTTTATATGTTGTGTCATGTACTGCTTTTGCAATCCATTAATTTTACAGATGAATGTGAAAATCATATTTGATCTTGATGAACATGTGCAGTGTATTTCAGGGAACATGGTCCTGCCTTCTGTCCAATTTAACTTTATCCTTGGTCTTGTCACTAATGTTGTTATTTGTTTGACTGACTAACAGGTTCTTCAGAAGCTTGGCAAAGCCGATGAGACCAAAGATGTTGCTTTTGAGGAGGGAGTGATCAACTTCAACAAACAATATGTGAGTACAGTCCAGTGAATGGCACTCCGTTGTACGGCAGAGTCAAATTTCTAATTTTACTGAAACTGAATTCAAACTGGATTTTGGATTAGCTCAAACAGTTTTGCGTCAGCTGAGAATAAAATATGTTCTGGCTCAACAGGCTTATAACACATGCGCGTGTCTCCTCACACTGCCTCATGTTTTGTGTTTTAAACCCCCCAGGCTGAAGGCAGCAAACTCCAAAGGGACCTTAGGGCGTACCTGGAGGCAGTGAAAGGTGACACACAAAAAGCCCATACAGATTCACACTGCTGTATACGCAAATGCACTCATACACATACACTTAACATGTTGACACACAATAAACACTGTAACCTGCAAATATTCTGTGATGTTTAACTAATGTAGAATTATGTATATTTGTCCCCAGCCATGCACGAGTCCTCCAAGAATGTGCAGGCATGTTTGGCTGACATGTATGAGCCGGACTGGTACGGGAAGAATGAAGTGGATTCCATTGTGGAGGTTAGAAACACTTTTCATGCTTGTCTGTATGTGTGAGAGTGTGAGGACTAGGTGGTCTCCATACAGGTCAAAGCCACTTTATTATACTGTATATTAGCTGACTTTGTGTATGTGTCTGGCTCATGAGCTGAGATTATGCATCACAGCAGCTGTTTTACCCAGGGAACGCACAGCTGTGTGTGATTGTGTTCCTGTCCTTTTGATAGCCAAATTATACATAGCATCTTTTGTGAGAGAGGTTGAGTGGCTCTTTAAATTTCCCTCCGACTTCATTAAGTTTACTCTTGAAATTACTTTTGGATTAATGGTTCTTATCTACAAGCTAGCTGCAAGAAAAAACTGCAATCATTTAAAAAGGGTTTCAGTTTATTTCTAATTTAGACTGCAAGCCCGAAGCCAAGACACAGGAACAGAGCTACTGGAATTAACTCTAAAGTGATGAAGAAATACATCCAGGGAGCATATTATTGCAACAAAAAAGCCTTGCAACTTGTCGTATTTAATCTCTGACACTGTGTGTTTGTGATTGTGTTTGGTTCTGTTATGTCCATCCATGCTTCAGGACTGTGATGTGCTGTGGACTGACTACCACCAAAAATTGGTCGACCACGCTCTCATCTCGATGGATACCTACCTGGGTCAGTTCCCTGATATCAAGGTAAACCGTGTGGTAATTGTATACCACTGCGTTTGTATTTCAGCCAGACAGAAATTGCTAAAAAAAGATATCAAAAGTTAAAAAGATATGAAATGCAAAAACTATACTAACAGCTGGATCTAATTTTAAAATGTTTTCTTCAGGCACGCATTGCTAAAAGGGACAGGAAGCTGGTCGATTACGATAGTGCAAGGCACAACTATGCCACCACACACAAGACCAAGAAAAAGGACGGGGGCATTAAAATTACCAAGGTAGAACAAATACAACAATTGTTTGATACAAACTTTAAATTTAGTATTTAAATTTACCAGATTTGAACTCTCTCTCTTTTTCTCTCTTGCAGCCCTCCTCTTTGTTGGAGAGGGCCACTCCAGGTTGGGCTCAAGGTATCCTGTCTGCACACAATGTTGCCCAAAGCAGTCTGTCCAGGAGTCAGGTATGCGATAATCTTACTGCACTACCAACAAGGTCTGCTGACTATGAAACAGTGATAAGGGGTGGCCTTGATAGCCCAGCAGTCAAAGACACATGTAACAAGGAGTTCCTATGTTTGAACTTGTTTCTGCACATCATGACTCCCCTTTTTTGCCCACTGTCACTGTAGCCAAACCATGTTGGAGCATAATCATTCAAGTGTCAGGGGATGTTATGCACACACACCCACAGCACGTCATTTATCAACAGAAGATCAAAGACATACTAACAAACATGCCCTAATGCATTGTGCCAACACACTGTATGTGTGTGTGTGTGTGTGTGTGTGTTTGTGCATGTGTGTCTGTGTGTTTATGTGTGTTTCAGGCTGAAGAAGAGTTGGAGAGAGCCCAGAAGGTGTTTGAGGAGATTAATATTGACTTGCAAGAGGAGTTGCCATCACTGTGGAACAGGTGTGTATGTGAATGTGATGTTCCTGTTGATGGATGGACGCTATAATTACTTTTCGCTTACACACTTACATCTGTGCTACATTTATCCTTGCAAGATGTTAAACAAAGCCAATAACGCAGTCAACACTGTCTCTCACTCTCTGTCTTTCTCTCTCTTCTCTTCCCCCCTCTAGTCGTGTTGGGTTTTATGTCAGCACCTTCCAGAGTTTGGCCGGTTTTGAGGAGAAGTTTCACAAGGAAATTAGCCGGGTGAGACTTGCATATAGACTTCTATTATTGCAGAACACAGCAGATCAGATAACAGTTGATTGAAAATGACGACAGTGCCGTCCTGACTACATCAGAAATAGCTGCGATTGAATCTAAAAGTGTGAACTTCTTGCTGCACTGTTTTTGCAAAGTCTGTTATGGCTCATGTCTTTTTTTAGGACATTGGTTTTAACTGCCTGCAGTGAGATAATCTCCTGTATTGCTGCCTTAGCTTGAGAGTTATCATAAATACTGACTATCTGAATTTGGACATGATGGTGCAACAAGCTGTAGCAGATAGACACACTTGGCAGCACTTGGGTAGTATAACAGAGCAGGAGGAACACAAAACAATGTAATGAGTATGTCATAGAATGTGCTGGAAAGCGGAGGATGATGATGACACCCCATCTTTCCCTATCTGCAGTTGGATCAGGATTTGTATGACATCTTGGAGAAATTAGAGAGAGAAGGCACAAGCAGGTTAGTGAGCAACAATCCATCATGTACACTTTCTGCTACACAGTGTCTTCTAATATATTGTGTAGATTATGTATCACTTGACTGTTTAGAAAAACAGTTTCATTGCATTGACTTTTAACATCACAAGTACTGGGACAATGTATAAAAGATTGGTCTTTCTATTTTGTTAATATTCTACTCAGGTGAAAACCCTGTAACCTCAGGTTTTTGCAATTCTAAAAAATGCCCCAGTCTACCTGAAAACAGCTGTTTGAGTGAAATCCTGGGAATGGTTTTAGAGTGCTGAGCCTCATCAATCCACCACTGTGGTGTGGCTGGTTGTCTTAGCCAGCAAAGAAAATACTTGCTTTGTTGTATGTCTATGACTCCTTCTAGACTACATGTTTTAGTCTTCAGAAAAGCAAAAGAAACGCAACCTCTTGAGAGCACATAAGAAGATTATATATTCAACAAACTCATTAATTTTCCCTATTAGTTATCAAAAACATTTTAAGCTGCAGCAACAGACAAACCAAATGACATGCATTAACCTGGAGCCACCCCTGAACCCCCCCCCCCCCCCCCCCCCCTTTACAGAAAGACAGGTAACAGCGGCGCATCATCATCAGGAACAAATAGGAGGTAACCAGCAGTAACTGTGGTAACCATGGTGACACAACTCTTGTCTGTCTGTCCAACTGCCTGTCTGTCAGTCAGTCTGCAGGCTTGGGAGATTTAAGGGAGAACTAGTGCTTAACTGTGCAAGTGAATCCACAGACAGAGAGTTGTGTGCCCAGAGCTGCAGATATATAAAAGTTGGGCAAACCTGTATGTTGAACACTGCACCAGGCAACACTGTTACGTAACAATATGACCCAAATCACAAGGTATGTAGTTTCTCATCTCCCACCAACTGAGACTTGTTGACAACATAAGACAACATAAAGGTCTTTAAACTAGATCAAGCTAAGGCCTCAAGATCAGGTAAGCAGGGCCCACCTTAGGGCCCTTGACATGTTAGTTGATTGCTTTAGTGCTGCATATTCCCAAACAAAGTAAAAAATACAGTATACGAAACTGCAGTCCCATTTGTCCACTTTCAGTAGATTTACCTCTTGATGCCATTTAAAGCCACCAGTGTACAAAATTGCCTGGTTCAGCAATGAGTTGCAGATTTTCCAACCTTTAAAATACCTGTAGATCTGAAGCTGTATTTGAATGCGTTTTTCACTGCTCGCTTGTGAGGATTTACTGGAGGCGCAGACAAAGCCTGCTTGCATGGGACGTAGGGAGGAAAAAAGGGAGGAAAGGAGAGAAGGGAGGCTCACTTATCTTGCATGACAGCTCTCGCAATGACAACTTCTGCTTGGACTCTTGTAGAGCATGTCTTTCTTACATCTGTCGTGTTAGCTTTCAGCTGCTCTTCTGAACCTGTGCCAGACCTTTCTCTCGCATAGTTTTCCTTCCTTGTTATTTTCTTTGTTATCAATCTGTATTCTTTTTTGCCCTCCATCTCTGTCTGTTTCTCATTCACTCAGTGGAAAAGAAGCATCTAACCACACTCTTAGGCCAGGAGGACCACCGCCAATACCCAAATCGCCATCCAAGGTAAAAACACACACTCACACACACACGCACGCACACACACACACACACACAAACACACACACTAACACACACACACACACACCGACATATTTTGTTCAGAGGTTTCCACACAGGTGTAACTAATAACACTTGTGATGGCTGCATTTCATATAGGGGGCATTTTTAACGTTAATGTTGAATGAGTTCCACCCGTTTATCCTACGTTTATCCTGCATTAGCAAGTCAGAATGTATTTTTGTTTTTTTCTGTGTTTTCAGTCTCATCTAATACTGTCATCTATTAACATGACAGTACATTTGAACGCAACTTAATGTAAAATATTAACACCTTTTTCCAAAATGCAGACTAAAAAGCATAATGCTCATTATAATTCTTTGTACAAAAAAAAATAAATACAGCATGGTATTAATTTGGCTTGTGGCAAAACAATCATCATATTTCTTTCTCTCTCCTAGCTAAGGCCGGCAGTGCCTCCTCCACCCAAAGTGACCCCATCTAAGGAGTTGAAAACAGAGAACATCATCAACCTGTTTGATGCTGCGGCTGCTCCTGATATCAGCATCACGTCCCCTACAGAGGTTAGTGAGCAGCTACGGTTGCCAAACAGCAATATCCCTTTAACGTTCCGTTATCCTGCACAGGTCAGAGCCTTTAAGTGTCCCTTCTGTCCTGCCCCACCTCGTACTTCTCATATTCTATTCTATTCTACTTTGCTTTATCTTCTGTCCTGTTCCTTGCCCCGTCTATTGCACCCAGTTAGCCAATGAGCCCTCCTATTCCTGTTGTTATCAGTTTGACAGTCACGCAGTGAGCAGCCTGTTGGACATGGACCTGGACCCATTCAGTGCAGCAACCAAAGCCTCCGCGGTCACACAGGTGGACGATTCATGGCATGAACATATAGATTGTAAAGACCCTCCACTGCAAGAAATTCCGGGCTTCACAAGAGATTTTATGTTTTACTCAGAAAGGATTTAAGTTAATTTCAAAATATTCAAGTCCAAGTGAAATTTAGAAATGCCGAACATATCCAGTTGCCAGTGCAGTTGTTTAAATATATTGAAACAAGCTTGATAAGTCTGGATACAACATGAAATCACTTAGTGAGCCTGGCATAGTTTGAGGTGTTACCTGTGTTGCTTCTTTCCAGTTTACCAAATGAGAGGTAGCATGATGATCTGTAGAAACCTGCTTTTAGTTAGCACTTTCCTGTCTTATCCACAGATCAGATGGCATGTAGACTAAAGCCCTGCTCTGCTTCTTTCTCTTCAAAAATGTGCAACATAATATAGTTTTAGATGTATTCATTTCATAATATTGTAATTGAGTATGTCAAGTACTGTCAGTAATAGTTTCTTTTGTTACAGTAATTGTTTACAGGCTCAGAGTTTATAACAGAATTCTTTTTAATTCTGTAATGAACACAATTCCTGTTTCTTATCATGAAACAGAATTCATGTTTGTTGTATGATGCTTTTTTTTTAAAATGTCCCCTTTCACTTTGCATATTTTCTAAACTACACATTTCTAAACTTTGAATCTAATGACTACATGTGATGATTTGAAATTCACATGATGTGAAAGGGTGCTCTCACAGGAACAAACCCGCAGAGAAAAAACTGGGGTATGTGGGGGGTGGGTTGCCTCTTTTAGCCCGTTGGCTTGGTTTAGTGGCATGAAGATTTACTGTATGATTCAGTAAGATATTTTTAGCAAAAATAAAGAAAGAAAGAAAAAGCTTAGTTTACCATACTAAATGCTAACTGGTCAAGGACAGACAAATAGACTAACTAGCAAGCTAAAGATCTTTTGATATTTTTCTTAGAAGAAAAATCTGCCAATAGTTCTTACTTCCCTCGTTGCAAGGTTTTTGTACCTCATGTTAAGTACTCATGTACATCTTTTCTCTACATCATTTGTGTCAAGGCGATGCAACAACATTCAACATTGTTTGGGGGGGTTATGTTGATTCTGAATGAAAGTGAATGAAATCATTAAAATAAACATCCGTGTTTTGCAGTGCACCTTTCTCCTACAGACCACTCACTCAGTGGGTGACTGACATGTACTATAAACTGACACTGGCCACCTCCTCAGACTTACATCACTTGGTACTTACAACTTCACCTAGTATTGCTTGTACTCTTGTTTTGCTGGAGATCAAATGCTATGGGCTTTTAGGTTTAGAGCATGGGACATGCACTGGAAATATCTTATTGAATGCAACAAGCATAAGAAAGAGCTCTGTGAAGAGTTTTGTTCTGTTTTCTCATTTTGTTGCTTTGTTGTGTTTGTTATCCACAGCCTGAAAATTGGGACTCATGGGTAAGCATGTCATCCTTGTCTTAATACAGTGTTTTTAAATTGTAAAAAAATACATAATTATCATTATGATCATCATCTTCATCAACCTATTGTTATTTGTGTTCATATTGAACATCAATTCATTTGTCATTGTTTACATTTACTACTTATGTAGCCATTATACAAGCCCCTATCTCATATGCAATGCTTGCTGCTACACACCCAGAGTATGCCTGATAGTCCTATGCAACACACGCAGGACATGCTGGGGAGGGACTTCTATAATGGCCATCTCTGTATATAAACAAGCTTTTCAGATTTCAGACTGGATCTCTTTCATTTGTCTGTCCCAAATCTGTTTGTGCATTGTCTTGTGTCCGCAGTGCTTGATTTGATAACACTAAACACTGAAGAGATTTTTGAACAGCACAAATAGAACTTGGGAATGAGCGTTTGGTCAATTCAGTTTCAAATTGATTTTTTACACTGTTGTATATAGTTAATCAATCTAAATTGTGTCTGATTTGCAGTCCTCTCTTAAGAGCTATCTCCTTATCCGTCATTCTACAGTTTATGTGCTCAGTATATTGATGATATACGACATACTGTGGATACGGAACAGGATTGATTGTAAGACACCTCTGGTGTCCATAAAAGATAACTGTACACACTTTTGTAGCATATATTTAATCTTGCATTAAAAATCCCTTCCGTGTGAAATGATTTGTAACTGAATTAACCTACTTTCTTTCAGTTTCCTCTCGCATCCCTGTATGTTCACATGTTACACTGACAGAACATGTAGCCTTTACATTTTAGTTACATGCTCCATGTGACACACGGGGGACAGTTTTGTTCTGAAAGTTGAGTGAAGTTGCTCATGTTTTTCGGTGGATTGTTTCATAGAAATGAGACAACCGATAAGAGCTAGTGGGCAACTTCACAAAGCCTTGCTTGCAACTTGGCATTCTGACCATTAACTAACCTTTTGTTCATCCCTATCACTGTAAGAGAGATGTGTCTCAGCAGTCATACTGTTCTGCTGTATTAAAGCTTCAGGCAAAGCAGTGATACCTCAGAAAGGAACAATAAGTCTTGTCTTACAAAGCTTCGTTCCTCTTTCTCCATCTGAACATAGCCGTGGGAATATAAACCATGCTTGCATACTTTACACAGAAGATCCAACATCTATTTTCTGATGGAAAAGGCTGCAGTTTTTGCATTTCTGCTGTGTGCTGCCTCCCTTCTTTATCTTCATCTGTCTTTTAATTTAAATTGAACCTTTTCTATAAAGGTTTATCCTTCTTCATCAATCTTCTTGGGTCTTGATGATGATGATGATGATGATGGTGGTGATGATGATGACTTGCTGACATCTGCTGCTGAACTCCTCACATTGATGTCCTTGACATTTTTCATGGCCCTGTTTCTGCGCATACGTTGCAAAACTGCTCCATTTCCCCTTAAATATGACAGATAACTTTAATATATGTAATGCTTAATGCCAACTCACCAAATCCTCTTCCATGTTCAAATCCCTTAAAAGGCCATGCTTACAGTTTTGAAGGTTTTAGCCTTTTTATTTCCATTTTTCACATGATTTTCAAATGGCTGTAAAACTGAATTCGGACAGTGGGGTGTGAAATGCTAACTAATGCTATGCTAACATGCTCACAATGGCAATGCTAACATGCTCATGATTAGTAAGTATAATGTTCATTGTCTTGGTTCAGCGTGTTAGCATGCTAACATTTGCTAATTAGCGCTAAACACAAACTACAGTTGACACTGATGGGAATGTGGCTGACTGACCAACACTGACATTCCCTAGAATCATGACGATTGCGTGGCTAAAAATATTCTCTGATGGAATATGGTCAGCATAAGATACAGCAAATACAATTTTTATTCAATGGGCTGGACCATACAAAATGACTTGTATAGTCCTTTAAACCTTAATTGTTTAAATTCTTTCCCACCATTCTGATTATACAACTCTTATGCACCCCTTTAGTGCCACTTTTATATCCCTATTAATTTACAATAATAGTACATATTTTGCTATGTTCCTCAGCCCACTGTTTTGTTTATACAGTGTCCATACACCACCTCCAAATGTCCTGCAGAAATTCTCTATTCTGGTTATTTTTAACGTTTTGTCCAATACAAATTCACAGCCATTGAATCTGCCCTTAAATATCCCTTATACTTGCCCTTCTTTCCCTTAGATTTCCCCCAAGCCCCTTAAAATTCCTATGAAGTAAAATATCTCTTATGACCTCTGACTCCTTGAAACTGACCCTTGCCCCTCAGCATGAGGACAGTGGTGCCCAGGAAGAGGACACCCTGCGGCACTATGACCCTGTGGCTGCTGCTACAGATGCCTGGGGGGATGATGGTTCGCAGCCTGTCCGCTATGACCCTATAGCAGCTGCCACAGAGGGCTGGGGGGATGACGGAACCAAACCAGTTTGCATTGACCCTGTGGCTCAGGAAGGAGGGGGGGATGATGAGAGCCAGCAAGTTCATTATGACTCCGTGGCTCAAGCCCAGGAGGACTGGGGCGATGACGGGGACCAGCCAGTCACAGAGGTGTCGCCCATGGAGAATGAAACACCTGCAGCTGAGGCTCCAGCTGACGCCGTTGAGGAAGAAGCCGCACCAGCTGCCGCTACATTGGATTATGAAGAGGGTCAGGTAACCAAGGAGAGAAAAATTGGCGAGATGCATCTGGACGAACATGGTGGATGCATCGATTTTTGAGGAGGAGGTTTGAGCATGGGGTACTGGAAAGAAACTGATGGTAGAGAAATACATTGTGAGTGAGAGGTGGAAAGATGGACAAATCTTCAGATGGAAAGATTTAGGATGCATCTGGACCAGCAGCATGGATGCATCAACTGTGACACAGGGCAAGTTGGAAATTAATTGCTTAGGGAAAGTGAAGAGTATAGACATCTGCCTCCATACACACAATTAATCACTGATAACTACACATAGTAAGCTGTGCAAAAGCTTTACTTATATGGCAACTGTGCATTAGGATCCAAGCTTACTGTGTACTGAACATACTTGCTTATATTGCTTATATTAGCCATAACATTGCTGTTTAGGCTCTGCGTCTCTGTCTTTTTGTCTGTCTTTTTGTCATGTCTGTCTGTTCTTCTTTCTTTCATTCTTTCCCCCTCCTTATTTCAGTCTTTCATCTGTCTCATTCTCTAACCTCTCTCTGTTATTCCTCTATGTCTCTCTTCTCCCAGGGTGAATCTGCAGCAGCTGCTGCAGCAACAGCAACAGAAGAACCAGCAACAGAGGAGGTGCGTGCAAGAGGAGAGAACTACTGTAGCTATTTATTGTGATATAATGATATAATGTTGTTTCCAAAACAATTAGGAGTGATACAGTCAAACCAGATTGATATAATACACATTGCCATTTTAAGACGTTACACTACCCCTACATGTTTCATGATTATGTTATAGGTAACTAGATATGGCTATGGTTGCCACGGCCTTTCTGTGTGGAGTTTGCATGTTCTCCCCATGTCTGCATGGGTTCTCTCCGGGTGCTCCGGCTTCCTCCCACCATCCAAAGACATGCAGGCTAGGTTAATCGGTGTCTCTAAAATTGTCCTTAGGTGTGACTGGTTGTTTGTCTATGTGTGGCCCTGCAATGCACCTGTCCAGGGTGAATCCCGCCTTCCGCCCAATGTAAGCTATGATTGCCCCCCACCCAAAAAATCAGGTCATTTATGTCTATAGATTGTTTTTTTTAAACGTATTTTCTTAAAAAGCTGGAAAGATTCTGACCTTAAATTAATGATTCCAAGCTGTTTCCAGTACAGCTGTACTCAGTTATGTCTCTTGATGTCTCTAGATGAAAATGTTTTCTGTGTGCACTGAATGTCAGTAAATGGAGTATCTTTTTTTCTTAGACACCTGCAGTAGTGGCAGAATCAACAGAAGTAGCATCCCCGCCCGCAGAAATGCCACCTGGCTTCTTGTTCAAGGTAAAACAGGATACAGTTTTTTTTTTATCTCAATAGGTCTGAGCATCTACTTTACCCAAATATATCTTGTATATATCTTCATATTATTCATGTTAGTATTTATGTAATAAAGGTCCAGGTGATGCATGATTATGCTGCCAATGACACAGACGAACTGGAGATGAAGGCTGGTGATGTGGTGCTAGTAGTCCTCTTTGACAACCCTGACGAACAGGTATACACACAAACACACGCACCTACACACTGTGGTGTCACAGTGACAATGAAGTGAATATCTTTATTGGTCTGTGTTTTTAGGATGAGGGCTGGCTGATGGGAATGAAGCAGGACGACTGGTTGCAGAACAAAGAAAATGCCGCTAAAGGAGTATTCCCTGAAAATTTCACCCAGAGGCTGTGAAAGTGGAGGACAGGATGTCATTCCAGCTTCCTTCTTTTTGTCTCTCTTCCTTTTGCCTCAATCCTTCCTTCCCTCTCTTGCCCCGGGATCTTTACTAGGACTTTGGCCATAGAAGCAGAGCTGTCACAGCCCTGGTGGAAATCATGCACTTCTGAGGTCTGCTACGCTGTGCTAAAAGTGGATCTTGGCATTTCTGTGGATTTCTGCCAACATTTAAAAATTACAGATGTGGCCATTTCACAGGTCCCACTCTTTACTGATCATATCGGACAGATGCAGGGATGGGTTTCTCTGAAATGGCTACCACTGCAATTTAAATTAATTCAAATGTTTTATTCTTAGTCATGTCTCATAAACTCTTCAAGACATATTCCTCCACCATAACAGAGAAAATGTCTATTGTGACATGCTTTTGTTCATCTGACACTGAGGGACTGAGAACAGTGTAAACATTTTTAAAACAATGCCAAGTGTAGCAGAGGATCCATTACATATACATAAACCCGCAAATCTGTTTATAAAGGATGAGGGGGCGTGATTACTAACACTAACTAAGTAACAAGCTAAAAAAAAGTAGAACCCGCTCCTAGCTGGCATCTTCACCCCAGTTAAACAGTGAAAAGACCACACAAGGTGCAGAAGTCTAACCAGTTAAACAGCACATAAACAGTGAGGAAATTTAAATAAACAAAACAAAATTACCAATCTTCTCAACAACTGGGCTTGAATTTAGTCCCTCGTAAATGTTGCTGAGGCAGTTCTCTGGCCTCTCAAGCTCAGAGATGTGAAAAATCCCAGAAGTGGGTTGTTGAAATAAATTTCTATATTTGGCAAAAGTCCATTTTAGCCACATGTGTAGCCATCAAGTGCCATTTTCTTCTTTGGCATGCAGATTGTTTCCTCAACTGTGCCCGTTTGGTTAGTTTTGGTGGCTGGCTGCAATTCTGACCACGTGTGTCAGTAAAGGTTAAGCATTTCGGTTTTGCAGTCTAATTAGTCCTGGGGTTCTGCTGCTGACGCAATGCCTTTTGGACACATCCAGCCCATCTTTTAGTCGTACTTGAATTATTTACTTGTGAAACATGGGCCCTTGGTTGTTGTATTAGTTTAGGTTCAATGGTGGTATAAGTAGTATGATTCTGTTGTTGAAATCCAAATACATGCATGTGCAGTTAACTTTACCTGCATATGAGGTTCAATATAAACATGTTTTGAAAATCCAAACAGAAATACTGATCTCAGACTCCTATAGAGTAGAAAAACACGACTGTTTTAATTTTTGACCTTCGTGTTTTTTATTCCTTGTTGTTTAAAGTTGTGTGAAGTTGTGTGGAGTGGGCATGTAAAAAAAATCTTCTCAAGGATTTTTTTTTTCCACAAGGGATTCCAAATATGCATTATTAAGGCTTGCTAAAAAGCTAGCCACCAAACTACAACAATGAGACGCTGCTACTGGTAGTATAATAGACAGATATGGTTACACCGTAATGTTAATCAAACATATAATCACTGAGCCAGCCTCATTTGTTTAAAAAAAAAATGTGCCGAAAACAATTCCTTCCGTTTGCATAGAGATGACTTAACTCAAATGCAGATGATTCCGAATATGCACCAGAGCAACTTCTTTTATTTTTGTATGCTGCCAAGCAACGATTACATATAGCCTAATGTAACTATGTCAACATAATTGCCAACGTAGGATGTTACAGAGTGTTTTGTACTTCTGTCAGGTTTACTGCTCTCAACACAGCCGCTTACTGTAGGTAGTGAAAACTATCTCTCATTCAGTCATTCATTCAGTCACTGACTCAAAAGAGATTCACATTTCTCATGATGTTATTAACATGTAATAAGCGTGAGAGAAAATGGTCATGGTGTGCGATTGTATGTGTGTGTGTGGTTACGGGTTGTTTGGAAACATAAATTCTTTATCTATAGGCTATTGTTATTGGACGATATCACCACCACCTACCAGGGGATGACGTCGTCTGTTTTACAGGAGGTTTTTCTGACTGGACAAAGGCAACTCAAATGTATTTGGGTCTTTTTCCACTGGCTGGTATTATGGTTCCAGGTGTTATTGTGCATTTGTTGTGTATAAGTGTAATTTTGACAAGCTGTGATGACAGATACATATTCTATAAAGACATTCATATCTGTATGTGAGTTACTGTGTGCATGCTGACTTCCCATGTGTTGTTGTGTGAACACCCCTAATTTAAGACAATGATACTTGAGGGACTTTTTGAGGCAGTTGAAGTTGAAACAGTCAGTTTCTTTTATTTTTTATTATTTATTTATCTTAGTAAGGGGGTGGTGAGCAGCTACTTACTGTGTGTGTTTTCCACCGTTCTCCCTCTCAAATCAGTCCTAATTATAATTGCTGGTTGTTCGTCAGCCTTGCCTCAAAGTGTTGCCAGGGTATCGTGGTCCAAACACAGTTAAACATGATTACACAGAGACAGGACAAATAGAGAAAGATTTCAAAACACCAGACTCAGTTGGACACTTTTTTTGTAATGGTTTTCAGTATTTTAACCACTTGATTGAGACGTGCATGATTTTTTCATGTGTATTGAAAAAGCCTCACGTGAGAACATCACCTGTACATTTAGGTAAAGAAATCACTTTCATATTTTTATTTTCAGATACATGTAACTTGGTGAGAGTTTCACCTGGGTCTGGTTCTCTATCTGTCTATATGGATCAGTCTCCTGCGATGAGCTATGAGATATGACAAAAGGTATTTCCTGTCCTTAACTGACCAATAATAATAAAGATTACTCAGAATATCCTTTTGTTTGTTGATCTTTTGCTCTTCTTGTGTGTAGCCTTCGCTGAGTGGTGGTTCTATTCCCTTTGTTAACAACACTTAAAGACAGGGGAAAACAGCAGCTTTCTTTCCGATATTTGAGCATTCATCATGTGACATCAGTCAGTCCTGGTTTTTGCTCCATGATATAACAGACTAAGTCTTGCTGTATGTGCAGGATTTTACTTTCTCGACATCTTCTCTGCAAACACAAAAGCCTCCAGCAGGGTGTGCTGTGTTCAAAGACTAACTCTCCATCCTGGAAAAAAAAAACAAAAAAAACAATCAGGCATCATGAGTAAAGAGGAGCGTTGCTGTGTGCTGCTGTCCGTGGTACTGAAATCAACCAGTGGCCCACCCTAACCACAGCTACTCATGCTGCATTTACATTGTCCCAGCTGTTGTGATATATCACCATTTATAGTAGTCACTAGCTTATGGCTGTTTATGTATCAACATGTAACAGATGATTGTCAGCACATGTTTAAAATCCAGTTTCTTGCATCCATTAGTGAATCAAAAAAATGAGGGCCTTTCAATCAGAAGAAGCAGGATGTCAATTAAAAGAAACTTTATTACATAGAGTAAAAGTGATGTACACTGCTCAAAAAAATAAAGGGAACACTTAAACAACACAATGTAACTCCAAGTCAATCATACTCCTGTGAAATCAAACTGTCCACTTTGCTGTTGTGCAAATGGAATAGACAACAGGTGGTAAATTATAGGCAATTAGCAAGACACCCCCAATAAAGGAGTGGTTCTGCAGGTGGTGACCACAGACCACTTCTCAGTTCCTATGCTTCCTGGCTGATGTTTTGGTCACTTTTGAATGCTGGCGGTGCTTTCACTCTAGTGGTAGCATGAGACGGAGTCTACAACCCACACAAGTGGCTCAGGTAGTGCAGCTCATCCAGGATGGCACATCAATGCGAGCTGCGGCAAGAAGGTTTGCTGTGTCTGTCAGCGTAGTGACCAGAGTATGGAGGCGCTACCAGGAGACAGGCCAGTACATCAGGAGACATGGAGGAGGCCATAGGAGGGCAACAACCCAGCAGCAGGACCGCTACCTCCGCCTTTGTGCAAGGAGGAGCAGGAGGACCACTGCCAAAGCCCTGCAAAATGACCTCTAGGAGGCCACAAATGTGCATGTGTCTGCTCAAACGGTCAGAAACAGACTCCATGAGGGTGGTATGAGGGCCCGATGTCCACAGGTGTGGGTTGTGCTTACAGCCCAACACCGTGCATGACGTTTGGCATTTGCCAGAGAACACCAAGATTGGCAAATTTGCCACTAGTGCCCTGTGCTCTTCACAGATGAAAGCAGGTTCACACTGAGCACATGTGACAGACGTGACAGAGTCTGGAGTCCCCGTGGAGAACATTCTGCTGGCTGCAACATCCTCCAGCATGACCGGTTTGGCGGTGGGTCAGTAATGTTGTGGGGTGGCATTTCTTTGGGGGGCCGCACAGCCCTCCATGTGCTCGCCAGAGGTAGCCTGACTGCCATTAGGTACCGAGATGAGATCCTCAGACCCCTTGTGAGACCATATGCTGGTGCGGTTGGCCCTGGGTTCCTCCTAATGCAAGACAGTGCTAGACCTCATGTGGCTGGAGTGTGTCAGCAGTTCCTGCAAGAGGAAGGCATTGATGTTATGGACTGGCCCCAGTTCCCCAGACCTGAATCCAACTGAGCACATCTGGGACATCATGTCTCGCTCCATCCACCAACGCCACGTTGCACCACAGACTGCCCAGGAGTTGGCGGATACTTTAGTCCAGGTCTGGGAGGAGATCCCTCAGGAGACCATCCGCCACCTCATCAGGAGCATGCCCAGGCGTTGTAGGGAGGTCATACAGGCACGTGGAGGCAACACACACAAGTTGGATTGGCCTGTCGTGTGGTTTTCCACTTTGATTTTGAGTGAGACTCCAAATCCAGACCTCCATGGGTTGATAAATTTGATTTCCATTGATAATTTTTGTGTGATTTTGTTGTCAGCACATTCAACTATGTAAAGAAAGGAGTATTTAATGAGATGATTTCATTCATTCAGATCTAGGATATGTTATTTTAGTGTTCCCTTTATTTTTTGAGCAGTGTATAATGTAGACATGATCTTTTTTTAAATTGTTGCCACCAAATAAAGCACAGAGTCGTTTTGGTTTAAAAATAACAACTTTATGTTTCAAATACAAAGTGTATGCACAGAGTTGCTGAAAATAATAATAGTTTACATTATTTTCTAAAAATAGATCTTTAAATAGTTTCTCCAACAATAGCTTAATATACATATGTGACAAATATTTTACCATTCATGTAGAATAACGCCTTGGAGTTCAACTGGACGGACACTAATATGAACTACATGTTTATCCATATTTATTCAGCCACCTGTCATATCTGCTTCCCATAGTGTTAAAAACTAAAATGTTTCCCAATCTAATCTTAAGTCTTAACATGATAGATGGGATACAAAAAAAAAGACCATGCATAGAGAGCTATCAGGTAAATTACTGTTCAATATTAAAGAGATTTACTATCTGTTATTTAATATGATGCATAGCTGTTGTTTAATACAGTAGTTGAATACAGCCTGAGTGTTGTGTATGCCTTAACTAGAACAACTGACCTGAAAATTGAAATTGGAAATTAAAAACATTAAAAACATGTCACAAAATTACACCTTTTAAATAACTGATGAAAAAAGAAGCTGTATAAATGAATTATATGAATCAGTTTGAGACAATCAAGTTGAGTGAAATCAGAAAACAGACTGACAGCGTGGCCATTATAACCACATGCGTCTATCCTGCATCAGTACTTCACAAATGTTGTAAAGTTGAAGTATACACAAAGCAACACAATTAACGTGTTCTCATAACCATTCTCTTGCCATTCAATAGTTTTCCATTGAAGCCCTTTCCAGATGTGAAGCTGTAATGCAACACTAGCAAAGTGCTACACTGCATTCAGTAAATATGCAGAACATCATCCCCCATTTTCCAGTTAAATATTATTTTGTAAATTAATTCTTATGTACAGAATAGGCTCTATCAAAACAGTAAAGTATCAGTTGAATTTACTGCAGTGGTGATTCTGACAGTCAACAGCAAACAGTTGTATTTTTTCCTTAATCTTACTTCACTGTATATACCTAATATATTCATAGAGTTTCAAATCACTCCTTGTTCAGTAACAAGTTTTCTGTCTTTTCTTCTTCCTTGTCAAATATTTCCTTTGTGAGTTCACCTTAATCATTTCTCTGAAGGCGGTCACAAAAGGTATCCTCATATGTTTATATTTCTTATATCAGTAAGCCTCAGCATGTTCTCAAGATGCACAAATGTTGACAGATTACAGTAAATACAGTACAAAGTAATAAAGATGAAACCTGATTCTCTTACTTGACTACCTACTTGTTTTAATGAAAGCTATCATTTCGAATCACAGTCCCTGTTTTTTAGTGATACAGGTTGAAGAAAATAACTTGAAATTTAACTGATTAATCCCTTACAGAACTGTCTTTGCGTGTGTTTTGTGTTACCCCTCAGTCTTCTCCATCCTCTAAATCTCCTGGAATTAATGAAACTAAAATTGCCAAAAGTATAAAATACGTTTAGTCTCCCCTCTTTGTCGTTCATACAATTTTTGCTACAAATAAAGAGTTTGTTGAGGTACAGCAAATACAGGCAAGTAGAGTTGGAAAAACACATTTCCACCATAAAATCAATCGTCTTTGGTGGACCCTCAATCTGTGCTTTGGTGCTCCTGAATACAATAGAGTGAATGAAGTCATCAGTGTGAGACATGTCTCTGGGTCTCCTATCTGTGTCCTTGCTCAATCCCCCAGGGGTGGAAGTGTCCAGGATCCAGCAGAGTTTGCCCCAGCCTCTGTAGAAGCCAAGGGTACCAGTGCAGGCCGTCAGTCTGCGGTTCTGAAGGTCCCATCAGGCTGTAGAAGAATCTCAATGGGGCCAGGACCCAGTGGGCCAAATAGTGATTGTCCACAGCAGCATAGCAGGACGCCAGCACGCCGTTCACCACTACCGACCCATGCTGGGTTAGTGGGGCATACAACCCGGTGCTCCTCTGTTCTTCTACAAAGTTCACGACTGAAAGTGTTGCCTGTGACCCCACTTTCCCTTGTGATGTGAGTATGCACTGTCCTGGCCGGACCTCACTGGCAAACACTGTCCTCAGACCTGCTACCCATCCAGGTCTGCCCTCCCGTGTACAGCCCAAAAGTGGCTCTTCAGCTGTCTCTTCCCACTTTGGGTCCCTCAGCCCACCAGTGCAGTCTGTGACAAAAATCAAGTGAGCGGCTGTGAGAGTAATATTTAGTCCTGTGTTGGTGCCAATGATGTAGAAGATCTTTGTGACATTGGGCTGGCGGTCCACAAAGGATAAGACTGGGCTGTAGAGAAGGGGGCCAAGACCATCTGCTGTTGAGGAAGCCAAGACACGGTCACCAGGGTGAAGGTCACGCATCTGTTTAGTAGCCCCACCCTTGAGAATAACCTGAGCATTGCCAGGGAAACAACCACCGGTTTTGGCTGCCACTGAATGTTCTGGAGAGATGAAAGAAAGAGAAATAATATTATTTGATTTGACTTAATTTGGTCCTGTTTTAATGTATTGCCTTGTTTTCTGGTGAAGATGCAAGGATGAGGAGTCAAAACACAAAGAATAATACACTCTGAATTTCTCTCAAGAGTGGAGCCCAGCAGCACTTGGTCTACTACAGTGGCTGAATCCGCACGTTATGCTAGGTCACTGAGTGATCTATAAAACAGAAGAGACTTTGACACTGACTGAAGGACAACTTTATCTCAGAGGATCAGTGGCGGATTGTTAACTTTTGTATTTATTATGTCTCATGTTCAAACTGTCAGATTCTATCTCTCTCCTTATTCTTACAACTCAGTCATACACACACAAACATACTTCACAGAAACACTGTTTTTACCAGCAGATTATCATTTCTAACCCCATCCACAATTGATGATTTGATTTTACAAACGATATTACTGATTTCTGAGTGACTTCAAGTAACTCTTTACACAGGTTGGGGTGGCCCTCATTCCGCAATACATAGGTCTATAAATCTGGCTTAAAATTGTACATAATAGTGTTTCCAAAAGGAGTAGTGCCTTTTCTGAGGCCCCTTAAAATGCTTGGTGGGGTCACATGAATGTGTTTTATGTTGTTAAACAAGACAGCTTGCCCCTTCACTTTGATACGGCAATATGGCATCAGTATGATACACGTACATACATAACACATTTAACATTATTAAAAAAGCATGTAGATTTCTGTTCATTTGGGCATTTGATCTTGTTGGAGTATTTCTGAATAAGGTGGCCCTTTAAGACGCAGTGAGACGAGGTGGCAAGAAGAAGTAGTCAGCAAGAGCTAATGGATAACCAGCTGATTGTATCACCACAGTCAGAGCACGGCCTGGGGTCAGAGAGACAGGAAAGTACACAGACTGAGACCTGGGTCTAGATATTGTTTGGATTACAGCAGAGTTTGTGTTTTAAACAGAGTCACATGCCCACTCTCAAAGGTGCCACTAAAGGAAAGAGCATTGGTACATTATAATGAGCTCGATTCTTAACAATGAATATTTTGGAAAAGAGCTAGTGGAATTATCTCAAAGAAACTGGGAAACAATCTGGAAGGAGCAATAACAGGCAAGAATAGAATAGAAATAAGAAATACAAAAGTATAAATGTGTGTTTGGGTATGTGGGAGGGTTGTCTTAAAGCAGTCTTAAGGCAGACAAATATTTGTCCAAGGTGTGTGTGTCTGTGAGCCTGAGGGCTGCAGAAAAGGAGGGCTGTGACCAGGAGGTGATAAGACTTAGATAAGAGATCTGAGAGAAACCTACTGAAGGAAAAGCAACAGCAAAACAAAGAGAGAGTTAATCATCTCACAGCCTACTAACCTCAATGAACTGCTAGAATGTAGTTTGGCATCAAATAACTGGTAGTACCAGACATGGGTAAATGGATTTCTAAAATGTCTCAAAAGTTAGAATAGCTTGAGGTGCAATGCAATCACATGTTGTTTGCATAAGGACTGTATCTGATTTATTTCAGAAAGTGTGTGTTGGAATCATGTAACTTAATATTAACAATGACATTTTAAAGAATTAAACAGCCAATCAGAGAAATGCAGAAAGTATGTCAAATGTCACTTTAAATGTACATTAGATATTTATATATGCATTATTATAATTTTTTTGGCGAGGGAGAAATGTCCTACTCAATATTGGTTATTCCACTGTTCCACCACATAATATAGCATAGAATACATCCATGTCAGAAATGTCAGTTTTACACTGCCTCTATCTGCATATTCTAAAGCCTAACATTGCACAATCACAAAAGAATTATCACTTAATGAATACAGCAAAGAGCACAGGTGCACACCCTGCTTTGATTGGCTCCCAATAGGCCATACACACAAACACATGCACAGACTGATGATAGTGGCACTGGTAAACCATTAGTGAATCACCAACAAAAGGTCTAGCATCAACCTCATTAGGGATCATAAAAAGCTGCCCACAAACACAGAAACATACAAACACACACACTGCAGCTCATATCCATCTCTTACCTGACTTGACGCTACAGTGAATGTGGGCTTTGGACTCGTAGTAGACCCAGTCAAATCCGGCTTCTACAGCCAGACGGGCCAACATGGCATACTTATTTCTGTCTCTATGAAAAGGAATGAAAAGATGTTGTTTACTCCAAATGTGATTCAATTCAAGCTTGACTGACACTGCATGTTTTTCCCAGACATGCACAGAAGACCTTTTCCACTGACACACATTGGAACAATTAACTACACAACAACATAGCTACAAGGAGGACAGTCACAAGAACACAAGTCCATTAGTTGGTGTCAGTTGACTGACTGAGTGACTTGTTGACTGTCTTAACTGACACACTGTTTAAATGTTGCCTGGCCATTGTGTGTCCTATCTCATAATGTGTTCTATGGCATGCCTACCTGTCTGAAGTGGTGATGTCGACAGCACGTCCCTCATAGTGCAGCGAGTCCTCTGAATGATGACCATCCTCATCCCAGCCCTCCGTCACTCTCAGCTTTACGCCCGGCCACATGTTCATCACAGAGATGGCCAGAGAGTTTAACTTGTCTTTACAACGCTAAGAGAGGTACATGGAGGGGAGAGGAAGGCAGGCTGTTACAAACAAACAATACAAATGCAAAAAAATGTTGTCCTAATAATGCTGGGGGGAAAGCTGGAGGTGGAGAAAGATCAAGAAGAAGAAGAGTTGGATGTGACGAGTCTAAGGGATGGTTACAAGCATGTAATCAAACAAAGTTCAAAGAAAAAGAGACATATCCAATGTGGACAGCATGTCTGCATGTATGTGTGTGTGCTAGATCAATGTATTTGTATTTTACAAACAAGTCTAGACAGATTTGGGCCTGTGCATAAAGGAGCCACTGCTCTAGTTGTTCCAATTACATATGGTTGTCTTGTCCTGGGCCAAATAAACATTTAGATGTGATATTAAATTAAAAGTAAGACTAATTTATCGGTTGGTTAAATGTATCCTGCATAGACTTTGGTTTGACAAGAGGGGTTTTACGCACTTCCATATGTCCAGCCTAATGGATAGGCTAATTATAGGCATTGCCAATGACAGAGAGAAAGGCTTATTTTTTTGAGTAAAAGCAATACTTCAAGGAAATCACATCAGCTAAGTATGTCAGGTAGCAAAATCCAGAGGTGAAATGAAGGGCCAGGGAGAGTCAATGAAAGCAATCATTTTGGTAACTGATAACAAACATTCAGCAGACAATTTGGATGAAACTGTGTGGCTAGTCTGGGATTTTTCAGGTCAGTCAGCTACATGGAATAGGTCTGCTGCAGCTCAGGATTAACCAAATAAGATATTGTTAATGCAGATTTTATCACTATATCCAATGGACAGTTATTCCACGTATATCAAACAATGGCACTCAAGGGCAATGGTCCATCTTTGCGCATCTGAGCAACATGTTTTACATCCATCCTGTTCTTCTCCTCTCCTTACCTGGGTCATGAGCCTGTCGGCGCCCGTGTCCTCCTCATCTTTGAAGATAATATCTGTGTTGTAATTCGGTGTCAGTTCTTTAAAGCGCTCGGAGTTGCGCGTTATTTTGCCCTCGGGTCTCCCGCTGGCTCCCAGGGTCTTCTCGGCGACGTTGGGGCTGAATTGCTTGTAAGCAAGCGGGATGAGTTTCTTCGGGAGCCGCCTCTTGCCGTACCCCCTCCCCGGCCCACAGCCCTCCGAGGCAGGTGCGAGGAGGAGGACCAAGGCACACAGAGAGGCGGTGAGAAGGAGGAAGGAGATCCGCATCGCCCCGAGAGGAGGGAGGATCTCCCGGGGGAGAGAGCTGTCTTCAGTACCTCCCCGGTTCAGTTCCCGACTCCATCGTCCGAGACAGTCGCAACATCACGTCCGAAAATCTCGGATAAAAGAAGCTCAGCACCTCGCCTGCACCAGGCACCATGAGGACACCAAAAAGTTTTAAGCTGCTCCCAAAAGAAATTGAGGCAAAATGAGAAACTTCGCTCCCTCCGCCTTACAGAATCAACAGTAAGTGTGCAGGCAGTGCAAGTCCGTGTATTTAAACAAACAGGTTCAAAGTCGATTTGGCGGGTGAGAGAGTGGTTACTAATATCCAACTTTGCAGTGTTGTGGTTTCTCTCCCTCTCTTTCTTTTGCGCTGGGAAACTGTCACAATATCAGCCACTTTCGCCCGCTGTTTGGTTGGTGCCCTCTGCGTTGAAAGCGTTTCCTCTCCATATGCGGCCGGCGTGCAACAAGCTACAGCTTTCCAGTTGAATTGAAGGGATTTGAGTGATCCAAAACGATCTGTTGCCACTTCAGACCGCACCCTGCCAGTCCTGCTCTCCTCTCTCCTCTCCCTCTCTCCCTACACTGCCACCCACCCCGCCCCTCCCGGGCACATGGGCGCACTGGAGAGTCCTGTCCACACTCTGCTGACAGGCAGGCAGGCAGGCAAGCGGCAAACATAAGCTTTGCTGCTACTTCGAATTCGAATTCCCGGTTGTTGGCTTTGTCTGTTTGTGCCCTTTTTGTTGCAGCCACTATAGTTATTTTGCCCTGGCTGCATTCCAAGATCAAATAAGATCAAGGGTCATTAGTTGACCTTCTGGCTAGTTTTTGGTTAAATGACTGGGTAATGGGTTAATTTACTATGTGAGACAGACTGCTTTCCTGGATGGTTGGTGGATGGACTGACTGACTGACGGTCAGTCAACAGTTTGTTTGACTTGCTGACTGACTAAATCTATGATTGGCTAGCTGCCTGCTTGGCTGCTGACTTACAGCAGTGCCAATTAGTCTAGGTAACTGTAATTAATGTAGGAGATTAATAGCTTTATGCAATTTTCTTAAAATGAATCTTTAATTTAATAACTTTGAACTGTCTGGATGCTACTGCTGGCTGCTTAGGCTGACACACACACACACACACACACACACACACACACACACACACACAAAGCCAATGCGTCACTATCTTTATGGGGACCTGTCATTGACATAATGCGTTCCCTAGGCAAGGCAAGGCAAGGCAAGTTTATTTGTACAGCACATTTTAACAACAAGGTAATTCAAAGTGCTTTACATAAAAAAAGGATAGACCCTAGACCCTTACCCCAACCTTAACCATCACAACTACATGCCTAACCGTAACCCTGACCTTAACTTAATTCTAATCAGAACCCTGAAACCAAGTCTTGACCCTCAAAAGCCCTTTAAACTTGTTGAGTCCGACATTTTGGTCCCCACAAAGCTGTTAGACCCCACAAGTACAGTGGAATCCCAGTTTTTGGACCCCACAAATATAGTAAAACAAGCCCACACATGCGCCTACACACATGTACACACGTGTGCGCACACACGCACATACACACACACACTCACACACACAGTTTAACACCAGTAAACCCAATCCTTCCAAATTAGATCTTCAAATATTTGCCAGCAGAAAATCAGTGGTCTCCCCCCTGTTTTTCAGGGCAGGATCCTTTGAATGAACTGAACTGTACAAGGCTGAGGGTTTCCACAATTTATGTTTTATTATTTGTGAGTGTAAACACCATAAAGTATTTTTGCAGCACCACCGCTTTTCATGTCTCTTGATGGAACAGAGCAAAGCAAAGAGAGACATTCACACAGTAAACAGCCATCTATAGCCTTGTTTGCCTTTTAGCTGAAATAGAACATCAACTGACACTTGTGTAAATTCATTACAACGCTGCTGGAACAGAACATACGGGCCAGTTAAAAGAAATCAAAATTTGTCATATTGAGGTGTCAGTCTTTCAGTTTTTTAGTGACGAGAGATATGAGGAACGGTGTCACAGAGAAAAAGCTTATTTGCTTTCTTGCCGAGTTTTAGGTGAGAAGATCAGTACCACTCAATGAAATCTGTCCAGTAAGTATAAGGCTATAGCCAGCAGGCGGTTAGCTCAGCTTAGCACAAAGACTGGAAACAGGGGAAAACACCTGGCCTAGCTCTGTCCAAAACTAAAACAAATGCAGCAACTCTAAGGGTTACTAATTTGACACAATTGAATCTTGGTTGTTTAATCTGTTTAAATACTGATTTGTAGTTTTTTTCAGGGGGTTAGGTGCCGGACTACACTAGTTGCCTGCCAATCTTACAGTGACAACAAGACTTCAGGAAGTCACTGCTCCTAGCCAAGAACTAATCCGGCAGATGACTCCCTGTAAAAAAACTTTTACTTTTACACTTACACTTACACAAACTTGATTTAACATGTTAATGAGTGAAGTTTAGGGGTGCTGATAGGTGGATTTGTTTCCTTCAGACAGCTGTTTCATCTTTTTCCAGTCTTCAGTCTCAGCTAAGCTAACCAGCTGCTGGCAGCTTCATATTTATCATACAGACATGATCGTTTGATCTAATCTTGCAAGGAAGAGATTAATGTTATTTCCCCAAATAATAAAACTATTCCTTTAAGGGTTGATGGTTCTGGCTCATCCTGCCTGTTTATAGTAAGTGTTCTTGAGCAAGACACTGAACCCCAAACTGCTATCAACTGTGCCTTGCTCGGCAGCTCCGCTGCAGGTGGCATGTGATTTTGGTATATGTACGGCATTGCAGACACTGGGTAAATGCATTAACCATTTACACTATTAAACAGTCATGCAGAGGTGCTGTGACCCATCACATACTGTATGTGAGTGTTGATACCTGTGTCTGCCTCATTTAGTGTTTCTGTTTCTGCATGTGTACAAAGGTTTGTCTGTGTGCATTCGTGACTAGAAATGTATATGCAAATTTGTGCGTACCCACGTTTTGCCCAAGCATATGTTTTCCTGTAACTATCAACATTTTGTGGGTGTGCGTGAGTGTGTGTGTGTGTCATCCCTCCTTTGAAGATCATAAATACAGGCGTGGCTCCAAGCAGGCCCGCTGCCTATTCAGCGTGGCTGTCGACAATGCTTCAGAAGTGGTCACATTCTCCGTCCATCCATCCATCCATCCCTCCCTTCAACCATCGGTCTTTCAGTTCCTCTTTGCCTCAAGAAAGGACACCATGGCCTTTCAAGCTGGCAACTATCTGATCAGATCAAACCAGAGTGGAGCCTGACACCCCATACACCCCCCAAAGAAATCTTCTTTCTGTTAGCATTCATCACCCTGTCAATTTTTCTGTCTTACGCTATTTCTGTTGGGGGTCTGTCTGCACTATTTCAATGGCTGACATGCCATAAGGTATGAGCTCAAACACACATGCACACACATGTGCATGGCCCTCAAACACACATATCCAGGCATGTGTTCACAGTACACACTCACATGCTAACACACACACACACACACACACATACACCAGGCTAGCTGACAAGTCAACCGAGCATCAGGCCCTCGCTCATTGATGTTTGTTAAAGTTATTAATTTTCTCTGTGAAATAAGAGGCCATGGTGGCAGGACAGAGGAAGATGGGTGCCAGCCCCAGAGTCTCTCACTGCTTTCATCTACTGGCACTGGGGCTCTGTGAGTCCACAGCACAGGGCCTTTACATGGGCACCGGGGTTACCCACGCATACCCAGAGCCCTAACCAACAAAGGCTCTGAGTGGGGCAAGACGAGGAAGACACAGATGAAAGGAAATGTTAGGAGATGAAAAGAAAGAGATGGAAATGATGTGAAAAAGGATGATACAGAGAGATAATGAGAGAGGGTGAGAAAATTGTACAAAGGGTTTGATGAGAGCATATTGGGAAAAGAGGGAGCAAGATGTGAATTGTGGAGTTGATAAAAGACAGGGAGATGGAAGAGGGGGTGAATGAGTAAGAGAGAGTGAATACATGGCACATTAGCTGGTAAACAAGTGAGATTTGGTTGTTTTGCAGTCAGTGGAAGCTAGCGTGTTTGTGGCTTGTGGTGATTCGCTGTAATGGGGGTTAAAGGACGTTATGCTCAAGGTAACAACAGCTGGTGGCTAAAACCACCATCCCTCTTCCTCCTTCTCCTCCTCCTCCTCCCTCCACACACTCTAGCATTCAAGCCCAGACCACAATAAACACCTAACACTACGTCTTAGTCACTAGGCTTCTAAGCATCGGAGTGGTTCTGTCTGAAACCTTGTAAGCCTTAATCTTTCAAGACAAGGAGAGAAAACATGCTGGATATACTGCATATAACTGCAGCCTCCACACAATTCGCCATACCTTTTTGGCAGCAAGTACCACTTGGCCAGTGCGCGTAGTTTAGGAGCTAAGCTGGCACTAACATGGCAGCCAGTGAAAACCACAATGACCAAATCTGTCTATCAATGGTTGAGAGTAGCACCAATACTAGTCTTGCTAAAGGCCAGTTCAGTGCAGTGTGTTTGGTCAGAGAGCAGACAGAAGGAAAATAAAAGCAGGATGATATAAAATTGGAGCACAGGCTAAATGTGTCTTGGAGTTAGCGGGCTAGGCTAGTCACCGCATGGCTAAAGAAAACAAAGAGCTGCCCAGGGGACTAAAGTACGCTGTGCTCTGACACTAAACCCATATGCATGGAGAGAAGGAAGCACATATGAACGCGCACACATAAACACATACACATAAGAATACAGAAGCATGCAGGTACAAACATACATGGACACAAAGGCAGTAACAAACTTACAGTTAAGCATTAATGCATGAGTACTAACTTGAACTTTTGCAAGTAAACACAGTCACAATCACATCCACACAATTAATTGTGTACACATGCACAGAGCTTCTCTGAGTATTACTGTCCACCATAGAATAAAAAATTATAGAATACAACAGAATACAATAGAATAAAATAGTTTCTATTAGTTATCCTAGTATGGCCATTATGAAACATTTAGATATAACAAATAAACAGTAATTTAAATGGAGGAGAATATAAATCCATTTAGCTAGTTGTGATTGAGTACTGACACCAGTGTAACAATCTAAATGCAGCTGTGAGAAATCTAATTTCTACTGAGAATAGTCAAACTTCCTCTTAACTGCACTTGAATTTCATATTTATTAATTACATGTATATATTTGATTTCCTTTGAAAGACTAGTCTTAAAATAAGACTTGAGGGCTGAGTGAGACTCAAAAGATTGGAGACTTGCTTAAAGAGTCAAATTTGTATGAAGTGTTCTAATAACAAGTTCAGTAGCCAGCTAATGCCAACAATAATGCAGTCAGTGCTCCTGCTGTATTCTCTCCATTTCAAATGAGGGATTCTTTCTCCTCCCTCTCTCCATCCATCCCGCTCTCTTTCTCCTGAGTGTGTGCCACATCTGTGGGCTCTGTGGTGATGTTTCGCTGCTCAGAATGGATTCACCAGCTCAAAAACGTCCTTATTATATTTATATTTTACTACACCACTAGAAAACCATGCCA